ATCTTAGGACATTGAATCGGGAATATCAGCAGCCTTCCGCATCTGTTGTGCGACTCTTCGATCCACCATTTCTCTCTTGTTGGTCTAGTGCATCATATCTAGCAATAATCGAACTTCATGTATATCAACTGTCTTCGAAAACTGTTGTACGACCCTTCAATCCATAATTTATCATTTGATTCGTCTGAGATCATATTCAAACTTCGGCTGAGTGATCCTTTTCCGATTTAGGGCGTATCAGACTCCATAATAAAAACAAGAAAAATTTTATGCTGAGAATTCACAAAAGATAAAAAGTTACTATAGATCAAAATGTATATTTTAATAATGAGTGGTCTTCTATCGGCACAACTTAGATATTTTATTATGATATTTTAAGCTAGAAGAGCTATCCAACCAGATTTGGATTAACTCAGATGATATTTTTTTCTTTTTTTTTTGGTCAACATGACAAAAATATTTACTCTGCCTTGTTTATCCTAAACATGCTATCCAATCATATTCACTATCACAAATTTTTTAAATAGAATAAAAAATGTGAAATTGACAAGAACCTTGGCCAATAACGGGCGTGACTGTAATAAGTCACATATAGCATTAACATTTTCGCTTGTTAATCTGAATGGTAATATGTAAAACAATTAAATCGGTTATAATAATAACAAAGATATATAGATTTTTTGTTTTTGACATCAAACGGCTGGTCTCTTACTCAAACGACTTGAGGTGGTCTGGGTAACCAGACCGGAATAGAACAACCAACGTACACAAGCTTACGATAGAAAGACTTAGCTATCTTGGCTAGAGAATCAGAAACGCTGTTCTGTAATCTAGGAACATAAAAAATCTTGAAATTAGGAAAGCAGATCTTCATTGTCAACAACTTTTCCAATTCCGTTGAGAATCTAGACCATGCATGACGATTCCTGAGCATCGCGATCATCTCCTTGCAATCAGTTCCAAAGCTCTGACATGACGAATGTTGAAGCATGTTCTCCATTGCCCACCGCAGTACTTCCAACTCTGAATGCAACGCCGATTCCACTCGATCAAAATTACGTAACCCCATTAATTGGCTATTTCTGGAATTATCATTCAACACCCATCCACATCCGCTGAAGGAATCCGTAGAAGTCCAAGATCCATCCACCATGCATATGTTTCCCAAACTTAAGGCCTGGTCTTCATCTATTTCGTTCCCAAGGGAGAACGGTATGTCCTGCTCATTTGCTTCGAACCATGCTTGGCATTCACTTTCTGCGTAGCGCGCTACCTCCAATGGATCCCTATCGATGCCTTTGAATAGCTTATCATTCCTAGCCTTCCAAATGTACCATATTAACCAAGGATAAGGATCCCTGTCCAATCTCGGTTCCATTATTGCATTCTTCCTCCAGAATAGATAGTCCATATTCGCGTACGTGCTTTGTACTGGAAACAGAGCGGGATTGGTAGGCGTAGATGATAGCGCCCAGACTTGTAATGCATGGGGGAATTCAAATATTGCATGTGTGATCGTTTCCTCGGGTTCCCCACAACGAGGGCAGTGGTTGTCACATCTCATATGTTTGTAGTTTAAAATGCTCGTAACAGCTACATGTCCTGTTATCAACTGCCACATAAGATGGCAAATGTTTTGGGGGAGCCCTGACCTTCCAAGCATGTGCTTGGAGTTTTCTGATACTAGTCTCACAAACTTCAGATACATCTTCCTTCCTCAAGATATTTCGTGCTACCCAGTATCCAGATTTAACTGTATATTGTCCAGTCCTCGTATAGCTCCAGCAGTACGTATCACGTCGATGCGTGGAGCTAATGGCCATACTCTTGATGAGTGTTATATCAGCTGCATCAATATAATCGTGAAGTCGGCTATCATCCCAAGACTTTGTCGTTTAGTTAATCAAATCGCTCACCCGCATATTCGGATGCAGAACCGGTGCCACTGGGGTTGCTGGTCTCGCATGAATAGTAGGAATCCAAGGATCTTCCCAAGCTTTAATTTCATATCCCGAGTGGACTTTTTGTCTAATTCCTAATAATAGCAACTCTCTTCTGGCCGATATACTTGTCCACACATATGATGGGTTGTTAGCATTGATTTGACGCAAAGGCGTACTCAATCTGTAATACCGGCCTCTCAAGACGCGAGCTACCAGAGAGTCGAGTTCTGTACTCCAAAGTTGCTTTGCTAGTAACGCAAGGTTAAACTCATGATCATCTTAAAGCCAATTCCGTCTTCTTCTCTGGGTAAGCATAATTCGTCCCATGTTGACCAGCGAATACCCCTTTTTGGCGGATTTGAGCTCCACCAAAATTGTGCAATGGCACTAGCTAAATTCTCACAAATCTCCAAAGGGAGAAGGAAGCAAGACATTACATATGTCGGAAGAGCAAGCAGGATTGATTTTATCATAACTTCTTTCCCGCCTTTAGAAATCCATCTGCCAGTCCATCCATTCACTCTACTTCTCAGCTTATCCTTAAGGAAGGCAAAGAGCTTACATTTGGACCCATTGATATCCTCTGGTATGCCTAAATATGACCCCATTCCTCCTTCATTTTGGATCCTAAGTGTGTCTTTGATCTCTTGTCTCACATCCTATCCGATTGTTTTACCAAAGAGTAAAGAATACTTATCAAAACTAATGCATTGTCCTGAAGCTTGTCCATATACCTTGACCACTTTCATTACTTCTTCACATTCACGGGGCTCCGCCATACAGAAAAACAGACTATCATCAGCAAAGAGAAGATGAGATACCAAGGGACACGCACGCGTGATGCACATCCCCACTATCTTTCCTTGATTCTCTGCGTGATTTAGAAGACTAACGAGCGCTTCCGTGCACAGAATAAAAATGAAAGGGGACAGAGAATCCCCCTGTCGTAGACCTCTCTCCGGGACAATATTCCCTCTTGGATGTCCATTCATGAGGACATTGTATTTTACTGATGTTACACATCTCATTATCATAGTTATCCAGACTTCAGAAAATCTCATCTTTCTCATGGTGGCCTCAATGAAGGACCATTCCATCATTTGCCTTGCTCATATCTGTTTTGATAGCCATCCTCTTATTTCGGCCACTCGGTTTTGTTCTTAAAGCGTGGAACAACTCCTGAGCTATCAAAATGTTGTCAGATATCTGTCTCCAAGCAACAAAGGCTGACTAGGTCTCTGAGATCCTATCCTGTAGAAACTTTTTTAATCTTTGGCATAAGACCTTAGAGTAAATCTTGTAACTAACATTGCATAAGCTAATAGGGCGTAACTGGCTCATCTGATTTGGCTTATCCACTTTTGGAATGAGACATATGTTGGTATCATTTAATCCAGATGGCACCGTCCCCTCAAATAGAAATTAATTAACCATAAGAGTTAAATCATCCTTTACAATATCCCAGAATTTCTGGTAGAACAGCGCCGTCATTCCATCTGGTCTTGGAGCTTTCTCTGGGTGCATCGCGAAAAGAGCCAATTTAACCTCCCATTAAGTGACCGGAGCTGTTAAAGTCTCATTATCTGTTAAGGTAATTGTGGTTGATACTTCAGAAAGTGCCTCCTCTATTGCCTCAGGATTTGATGATTGAAAGATATGTCTAAAGTAATTTGTAGCAATGGCTACCAATCCTTCCTCATCCTCCACAACATTTCCATTTTCATCCAGTAATTGGGTAATCCTATTCCTTGCCCTCCTTTGCTTCGTAAGGGCGTGAAAAAAATTAGTATTTCTATCCCCTTCTCTCAGCCAGAAAATCCTACACTTCTGCTTCCAGAACATCTCCTCCGCCTTAAGAGCGTCGGATAGTTCCTTAATAGCTTCCGCGATCTCCTCAGTAGTGGCATCATCATTTGAAGATAAACGATCTACTTTTTCCTTGAGCTCCTCCACTGATTTCTCTGAGTTCAGATTATGCTGCTTTTTCCATTCACTTAATGCTCACCTGCAACTTGCTATATGCTCCATTATACTTGCGTCTGGTGGGAGATCCGGTGATTTCCATCCCTCAAGTATAATCTGCCTGAGCTCCTCGTTATCCAACCATCTCTTGTCAACTTTTAAATTTTTTGTTCTCCTCGGTTTCTTCTTAAGAATGTCAGCAAGGACCGGACGATGATCCGATCCCCAGAGTCGCATATATGTCACTTTGAAATGAGGAAATTTCTCATGCCATTCCTCATTCCCAACTGTCCTATAGAGGCGGCATCTAACCGTCGTCTTCTCTGCTCTATTTCCGACCCAAGATAGCATGTTCCCTGTATAAGGAAACTCCAGCATACCACAATCACTTAGCATTTTCCTAAAGGGAAAAAAGGAGCTATCTGTGCGTTGTCTGCCTCCTTCCTTCTCTTCATGACAGATGATTTCATTAAAGTCCCCTATCATAAACCAAGTTCCAGTTCTTGTTGTTGAGAAACGCGTAAGACGTTCCCACACTAAATCTCTTCGTTCCAATACAGGATCCCCATAAACAAATGTCATGTAGACTTTTATTCCATCAATGACTGCCTCAATGTCAATCATTATGTTATTTGAAAATAAAACATTAACTTGAAATTCTTCCATAAAAAATAAAGCTAAACCTCCGCTGTGGCCAAGTGGTTCAACGGTAAACAAGCGATCAAATCCTAAGTCAGCCTGAATGTCTTGCAACAGCAGCCTCCTATTCTTCGTCTCAGAAAGAAACAAAAGTCTTGGGCGATGCTTCTGACACATCTTCGTAAGGCGTCGAACTGTGAGGTGGTTTCCGATCCCTCGACAGTTCCAACTGAGTGTCCTCATGGATACTGTTTTGATGGGCTTTTGGCCCCCATCAAACTAGCAGAATCTTGACTATGGTGACTACTCCTCCTCTGACCTTGTTGAAGTCCTTGCCCATCTTTCTTCTTAGTCCTCTTCTCAGAATCTCGCGGACCAGGAGAGGAAGCAGAAAAATTCCTTGGTGAGCCGCAATGAAGGAGTTCCATTTTTTAGACTTAAAGCCCAATAGAGCATTCAATCTGTTCCTCTCGTGTGAAGGCTTCGTTTATCCCTGCGGGTCAAACCACTAGAAGCACCCGAGTACGCGCGAGACTCCTTACCCTTTTGCTCCTTCTCCTGCAACGCCAGAAGCTCTTCCCCCAATAAGTCATCATCTTGATCACCATAGTCCAGCTTCTCGTCGTCCATATCCATCGTTGTCTCCATATCATTAAGCGTGCCAATCATCTGATCCCCCTCCATTCCATTGATATCCACTTGTAGAGAATTTGGAGAGAAAGTAAGAGCACGTGTTGCTCCTTTTACTCGCTTGGTAACATTAATCTCCATGACATGAGAAGATCGCAGTGGAGACACAATGGTGCTGCCTGACCTTGTCTTTGGATGAACATATGATGGCTCCTCCTTGTTATTATGTTTAGATGATCGATGAGTGACCTGTTGTTCATATGGAACAATGGTAAGATGAGACTGGTTTAGCTCGAGTGTCTCATTCGCAATAGGAGGTACATGTGGTGACACAATGGCACTGGCGATCCTCTTTGCCCGTCGATGCTCATGTCCCCCTTGTTCTGCCGAATGTACCTGCTCCTCGGATCGATGGTCTGCAGAATAAGAAACATCCGACACATCAGCAACTGAAGTGTGATCATATGGATCCACAGTCGTCGATATCCGTGGCTGAGCTCGTGCCAGCCCTCGCCCCGGAGACGCATCAGAGGTTATACTTTTTTCACGCCATTGAAATTCCTTGCTCCGCGCATATGGAGATCGATGTGGTTTCCACACATCTCTTCTTCGCAACACCCTATCCGGGTAATGTTCCCTGCGAATTTCATTCTCGATCCTTAATGTTTTCTGACGAGTATAGTTGCCATCTATGTTTCGACTTGAAGAATCCCGAGCAAAGAACCGGTTGTTGTCAACGTTTTTCGCAGTCCTATCATAAGGAACCTTGGTGGATGTGTGGGGATGATCCTGCAGAGCCTGAGTACGCTCCTCTCTAGGTAGCTGGACTCTCGAGAAGACACCCGTCCGAGCATAATTACCACGGCCTGCTTCCATAGTCGAAGGAAATTGTTCTTTCTCATGGGTTAAGTACCCACAATTAGTACAATGTTTAAACAAGAGATCGTAAGTGATCTCAATAGTTACTTCTTCTCCATGTGGAGAAGAGGCCATTGTTTTGAATTTCAGAGGCTTCCTTGTGTCAACATCAATCAACATTCGTCCTTCTTCAAGCTCTAACGTGTCAACTTTTCCTATGCGACCACCTAGACCACGCAGGTTCTTAACAGTCCAAAAATGCAAGGGCATTCCGGTTAAGCGAACCCAAAAAGGAATTACCCACGGATAATCATCATGAACAATGGGCTCCCATCTCACAAGGACAAACATGCAATAGTTTTAATGGAAAGGGCCTTGGCTAAGAACGGTGCTGATATCCTCCTCATTTGTAAAGTTGAAAAGGAATTTCCCATTACCAAGGTCATTAGCTGTTAATCTGTCTTGCATACCCCATTGTTTGGGGATATACTGGATCAAATTTTCCACATTTTGTTTTTTCGGGTTTAGTACTTTGCCAATAAGAGACAGCCTAAACTCATCTATGACCTGAGAGTCCTCCTCCACCTCGAGCTGAAAAGGTTCTTCCTCTTCCTGGATAGCTTTACCCTTGGCCTCCGTCAGATGGACAGATGTTCGGCGTCCAGGGGGTCCCATTGGACTGACATCCTCGTGCTCTGTTTTAAGAGAAGAAAACATGAGTATGAACTTGTAACAATGTATCGAATCAAGGACTCCAAACACTGTGAGACAAAAAGGTGTGATGGATCAAAACGTATGGAAGACGATGAAGAAAACACTAAAGCAAGGGCCTCAGCAGTGATAACGGGTGATACACAAACACCCAAACCCCGATGATGGTCCGGATTGATCAGTGAGATAAGAAGATTTCAAAGGAAATCTTCTGAAACTTGGTGAAGAAGCCACCAGCTTCAACAGCAGAAAATAAAGGGGGACGCCGAGAGCACAAGGAGTGCGGACTGTTTCCCTTGTGATTGATGGTAAGCCACCGGGATCGTTGAAATCCTGGATCGGGATCAGGATTTATCCTCAGGTCATCTTCATTATTGTATCAGGCCGGCTAGGTTTTTGCAGAGGGTTGAATGAAATCGATCAGAGACAAACAAGCGAAAAGAGTGACTGAAGTTTAGGGCTGTGTGATCACCAAGGAGTGAATCAAACAGAGACAAAAGACGCCTCTTCTTCAATCTTCAAATCGCCTCCGTGATCGCCTCCATAGCGGCTAGGGTTTTCCTTAAAAAAAAAATAATAATATATAGATATATGTGTATAGGTAAATATTAAATTACAGTGAGGTCCGGTTCATATTACCATCATTTGAAACTTAATTTTTTTTAATACTGAATAACACATCATCATATAACCCTTAATTCTATTACATATGATATGATTGAAGCCTAAATTTGTATTCAGAGTATTTAGGATCCATGAGGTCAGGTGTATTGTGGACATAAATATGGCACTTGCTGCTATCTGAATTGTTCACATGTGCTTTGTGACTGTGTCTGTGAGTGATAATAAAATTGGTACGTAGAAAGTACATATACTAACTTCATATGGCTAAAACGCATCTAAACGATGTGGACAGAGAACAATATCAAGCGAATCTACTCGAACGCATGTAGATTTCCTTCATTTGAACACTCACTAAAAATTGAATTATTGACTTTTAAAACTGTTTTTCCCCGTTAATAGACACCCGGTACAGTACTAAAAATTATTAAATAAACTGTGGTTTCAGGGCAAGTACTGAAAATTATGGGATTTGAAACAATTATAAAAAATAAATTTTTTTTTGTTAATTATTTGGAAGCGAAATAATATATACAGATTAACCATTAAAGTTTTTTAAGGAAGAAAACATACTAATGTTTCATTGCGCTATATCTAGAGCTGTCTTCTGACTATGCTGATGCTTGTAGGTAAATAATTGGTATACAAGTAAACATTATTTTGCCAAGTTACAAAGATTAACTGGTCCTCGGTTAGCAAACCCAAATGATATAATTAAGTTGATTTTTCAATAAAGTATTTTTTGAATGACAGGAAAAAATATGTCACTTAATCCATGTTAAATTATTACTTTTAGAAGGAGAAATCCTTACTAATAAGAATCAAACTTAGACATGATTAACCTTAGTCTCTTAAACTAAGAAAAATTTAGAATCGTCTCTTAAATAATAGAGATAAAAATCGTCTCTTAATCAAAAAATGTTAAAAAAATAAAAAAAAATCAAATCAAGAGTTAAAAATCCGGTCTAAGAGACTGAGATTAATCATGTCCTTACAATCCCTTAGACAAGAAATAAGTGAATGTTTTTTAGCCAGTAAACCAACTCCCCAATTAATATTTTAGAAAAAGTAAGAAGTTACCAGTTATAATGGTACTATATAGGCATGGGCATTACATCTGATACCCGAAACCTCACCCAATCTGAAAAACCCCAAATTCAAATCCAATCTGATATATACAAATATTTGCACATGTATTGAGTTAGAAAAGATTGGACACCTAATTTCGATTGAGTAATACCAGAAACCTGAATGAATATCTGAAATATCTGAAAATGTATATATTAACCATAAATTTCTAATAGTTAGATTCATTCATTTCCTCTTCATAGTTTATACTAAACATAACCCATCTCTGTGGTAGAGTTAATGTTATGTTTTGATTTATCTACACCTTTTAATTTTACAGGAGGATACACTATTTTCTAAGGTTGCTTTGGTGAAGCATTGTTTTTCATCTTTGAATATTTGATGTTCTGCTCTTTGGTAACAATCTATTTATTGTTGTTTGATAATACTATATTGTTCTATCTTACAACATACACATTAATATTAGATTTATATTTTTTTTTGTTTTGATTCATGAATATATTCTTCCAGATCTTTTTCTTAAATAACCTTAACCCGATCCGAATTAAAAATACCCGAACCCGGTCCGAAGCATAAAAATACCTGACGGATTTTATATTTCTATACCGAAACATCCGAAAACACGTAATACCCAATCCGAAACCCGAACATGTATCTAAATACCCACCCTAAGTACTTTAGTAAAGCAGATTTAAGCAATCAGGATATCACCTCTTTTTCTTCTTCTTCCAACATTGGATATTACCTGACGAAGACGCTTGGGAAATCTATCAAATGGGTTGGTGGCTTCTGGAAACTCGATGCATGTGTGCTAATACTGTTGACTGCAGTAGTGGATCCAAAATTTTGTTTACTGGTGTCATAAATTAATTTGATTATTTAAATTAAACATTATTAAAAATATTTATGATAATTAATATGATATTTTAGAATATTTTATCTCGTGAAAGCTGTGATATGTAAAACAATTAAATACTTGAATATTATCAGATTTTCTTTTTATAAAAAGCATATACTGAATTTGGGTTTTATAAGCCCACATATATTTTAAAAACTGTGGAAGCACCGTAACCTAATGGTTAAGGTTTTAAAGGTTTTTACACCAGGTCTTGGGTTTGAATTTCAAGCTACGCAGTTTCTATACCAAGAGAGTTTCAATTCCTGGAGAAGGTGAATGGCGAATTATGCAAATTGGAGAAAAAACTTATAAGAGATCTTCAGCATGGCGCAAGCCGTACAGTCAGAAATGGATCTCATAGGACGGCTCAGAATGATGCAGTCAGATGTAAATCTGCATAAAGAAGGTAGAATTGTCGGCTGTAATATCGTTTACGTAATTTCTCATAGTTTGTAATGCATAGTTATCTAATATTAAAAAAAATATTTAAAAGAAAAATTAGAATAAAGTTTTAAGTTAAGTCCAAAAAAGAAATTAAACTAAACTAAAATTAAGACCCAGCAGAAAAAGGTTAAAATAAAACATGGCATTTCTGCCCGATTCCAAAAGTCAAATTAATTGGGTGCAGAGAGTGTTCGTACACAGATTAAGGAGTGTGAGAGAGATATGGATTTTAGCCATTCTGATGCTGTTGGCAAGCTATTTTAGCTTACACGTAGATATGTTTCTGGTTGTTTGTTGAGAACTGACCAAGTAAAATTTTGATAATACATAGACAATAGTCAAATTCTAAAGAGGATTTACCAAATATGAATTAAAATTTGATTCTAAATTGCAAATATGTACCTCAATTTCGATCAAATTCCAAAGTAATCCAAAAGACTAGTGAAATTATAACTAGTCCTTTATGACCAAACAAAAATAAGTATTGATTTTTATCTTTATAGCCATGTGCGTGAGAAGACTTCCCTAAAATTTTTCTCATACAACATATCTTAAAAATAATTTAGAATTGTTTAAAAAATATTTTGATGGGGGAAAAATTAAATCATATAATTATAAACATTTTTAAGTGATGTAAATTATAGATGAGTGAAAGTAGATTGAATCATGATAGTCTTTGATTTAGGGTCAGGTAACATATGTTATAATAATGTTTGTATTTTTAGGGTTAGATTTTGAAATCTTAACATTTTTTTTAAATATTTAAATTTGATATATATATATGTTTAGTTTTATGTATATTAAACACTTTATAAGTTGGTTTCTAGTTTAATGAAGTTTTTGTTTGAGATTTAGTTAGTTATTTGATTTTAGAGTTTGGAAGACTTCCTAAGAAATCTTCTAAGA